AGCTATTTTGGCCTGGGTGTCATTTGTCAATTATAGAAGGGGTTTGCATGCCTTTGCTTTATTCGCTATGTGCTAATTTTCAGTTTTTCTCTCCTACTTTTAAGAAGCAATCACCATGAGGGTTTCTATTTTATGTTTTGAGTTTTGGGTCATCTTCAGCCTCTGGGTTCTTATGATTTTTTAAAGGCAGTTTAGAGGGAAGATATGCACTTGGTACAAGAACTGTGGATGGTGAAGATAAATTGGTAATGGGGAGGTTGTGGGTTTGAAAGTGGATTTGACTATGTCTTTGAAGCTGTATAATCCAGATGAGGTTGTTCTAAACCTCAGGGCCCTTTTCCATAAAACTGAAGTGATAGTCATACTGCTCTGAGGCCACTTTTTGACAGTGCAGGTTGGTCTCTTAACAGTTAATTTAGAAGTTTTTTCCTTTTTGGTCACCTTTCAAGAATATGTAATTTAATGAAGTCAGGCCTTCACAAATTACCTTGGTACTCCTTTTGGCAAAACAAACTCTTTTGATTTGCTGTCAGCCCATCAAAGAAGGATAAACTCCTTTGGATTAAAAGGCTAGAATCCTTTACAGAGTCTTTGGAATGAACTGCCCATGTTTCATTATTGAGAAGAGAAACACTTAAACTCTCAGTGGAAATTAAATTTGAGTTTATTTTACACAAACCATGGCTCAGGTCCAAGGCTCTAAGACAGAGCATGCGTGGGTGGGGGTGGACACTAGAGAAAAGAGTCTGGCCTGCATTTGGGTGGATTTCAAAATGTGTACAGAATTTGTTCCAAGCCTTCATTAATGGGCTCATCGAAAAGAAAGTTGGAAGGGACCTAGAATTAACCAGGCCTGTGCTCTGCCCTCAAACTGGTGATCACAAAACCAGTTAGTGAAGGTAGTTTGTTGATTGCTCATTTGTTAGTATTCCAAATGGTAAGTACTGGGGCTGAGAAGCTAAATAGAAGAAGTGGGTCACAGGAGAATTTATAGTCTGACCCTGTGTAATGATCTGCCTTCTTCTTTGCCTCCCACTTGATATTTGAGGCGGCATAGACCTGCTCTTAATCTGGATCCAAGAGACAAGGGGAAGGAGGATTAAACCAGCAGTTCCTAGCTTAAAAGTCTTGCTGTCCTTCAAGCTCAGGCCTTGAAGGGTTCAGACTTTATGCAGGGATTCAAGGCAGCTAACATATTTGGATGCTAAGTATAAGATATTGTGTGGGATGGTGAGTGTTTATATACAAGAGAGATGGAGTGAGATGGAGGTGGAGGAGAGGGAAAAGGGGGTGAAGAAGGAAGGCAGAGTACTTCCCCTCAAGTAGCAGAGGTGGCTAACTCAGATGTCTAGGATACCAGGCACATTTAATGGCTTTGCATGTGTAAGAAAAACAACATAGTAACTAAGATAAAGGACAAGAGAGACTGTGTCACTGACAATAGGAGGTGGAAGTGTGGGGAGAGTATGACAAACGATAGTGTGCATCTCTATTTAACAGGAGCATGGACCAGCAGCATCAGAATCACCTGAAAACTTGTTAGAAATGCAGATTTTCAGCCCATCCCAGACTTACTGAATCAGAAAATCTGGGGGGGGGGGGGGGGGGAGGGTTCTGCAGCCTGTTTTAATAGTCTCTCCCTGTGATTCTGATGCTCCCTGTAGTGATTGTTGCCTTGTGGTAATTTGAACTCAGTGTTGCTAGATCTTTGAATTTTTAAAAAATATATTGTATTGATCTTTTACAAAGAGGAAGGGAGAGGGATAGAGAGCTAGAAACATCGATGAGAGAGAAACATCGATCAGCTGCCTCCTGCACACCCCCTACTGGGGATGTGCCTAAAACCAAGGTACATGCCCTTGACCGGAATTGAACCTGGGCCCCTTCAGTCCACAGACCAACGCTCTATCTACTGAGCCAAACTGGTTAGGGCTAGATCTTTGAATTTTTTAAGAGGAGCTAGAAAACTAAATTTTTATGGACATTTCCTGAATTTTAAGTGTCAAAAAATGAAGAGGATATATGTAATTTGAGGGAGGTGCGCTGTGTAGGCCACACTGTAGGCCAACGAGAATACATCTGTGGGCCGTGTGGTCTCTAGGCCTCCTGTTTCAACTTAAAATACAGTGATCAAATAGCTTGTTGACAGTGGAATAATTGAAAACGCTGTCAGACTAGAGGCATGATTCTCAGTGTGTTTGTGGGCGTGGGTGAGGCAACAGGACATTAGAATCTGGCAGGAGGGGGCTTTTAAAAGCTGCATAGATTCTGATAGTTTCTGAGCCCAGGTGCTTCCCCACCTCCCTCCATAGTGAAAGAGCTTCCCTTAGGGGTACAACAGCAGAGCAATCTGTGTCACAGTTCTAGAGCACTTAGTCAAGTCTTCATGAACTGCTTCCACACCTGTCCTTTCATCAGATCCTTACAATCTTGTGCAACAGGTATGACAGGTATTGTCTTCATTTAGAGCTGCCGAAATACACTGAGTGATTTGCCTAAGGTCACACAGCTTGTAAGGGGGTAAACGTGAAACTGAGATATCTAATCTTATCATTTCTAAATTAGAGTTTTTATCCCATATATTATTTTAAGTATGTATGTGTATTTGTTCATTCAAATCACCACAAATTCTTGAGAGGATGTAATATGGCTCATTTCAATGACAGGTGATTGGTCTTCCCATGTCCTGTGACCAAGCCCCAGCTTTCCCCCTCCCAGATCTTCCTTTTGCCTCCTGTGAATCCCCCAAACCAGTTGCTTCTCCATCACCCCCTTTGCTTTTGACATCTGCACAGGTTTGGGGTCTCTCTGTTCTGGCTTGTCTTGCCACACACTAAGTCTCATGGGGATACTCTGAGCCCAGAGCTGTCCCCAGTACAGGTGATCTGTGACCTGGATGTCAATTGTCAGGAACTGGATTGAGCACCCTCCTTTTACATAGGCTGCTGAATATCTTGCAAAGCAGTGCCTTTCTGACACATGATAAACTTGAGTGATAGACAACATATATCATCGGGAAAGCTAGAATTTAGGATTCTTCAAATATCCTTGCGAGTCTAGCTTAAAACAAAACAGTCATGCAGAGGGGCAAAAGGAAAAGAGAGACACAGAGAGAAAGACAGAAATGGGAGCTACTTAGTGACCAAGGAAGCACTGCAGTGCAGAGTGCTCAGCACAGCCCTGCTGTGGGTATTTGGAGGAGGAAATGGAGAAGGTGCCTTTGGCCAGGACCTTGCTTTGCCCAGGACTGGCTTTATGACAATTTTTTACTGGGGATGGGCAGATCACCATTGGGAAGGGTGTGTTTCAGCTTTATCTTGGATGCTTCCTTACTTTACATGACTTAATTCAGAAACTATTCAACAGTTTAGTGTATAGATTGAACCGCTTCCTTTGCGTGTAATGAAAGTTTTATTTAAAATCCTAGCCCTAGCTGGTTTGGCTCAGTGGATAGAGCGTCTGCCTTTGGACTGAGGGGTCGTGGGTTCAATTCCGGTCAGGGGCACATGCCTGGGTTGCTGGCTTGATCCCCAGTAGGGGATGTGCAGGAGGCAGCCGATCAATGAGTCTCTCTCATCATTGATGTTTCTATTTCTCCCCTCTCCCTTCCTCTCTGAAATCAATAAAAATATGTTAAAAAAAAAAGTCCTCATAACCATTTTCACTATTTTTCTACAATAGGAATAGTCAAGTGAGAATTGTAAACAGTTTTTTGGGGGCCATTTCTACTTGGCAAAAACAGTTCTGCTGAGATAGACAGAAAAGTTGTCATCTAAGATTCTTGCCCTTTCTTGGAAAGTCAAGTAAAAAACAACAAAATAAACCACCTTACACTTTAATACAAATTTCACCCATCATATTTTTAAACATTGGGAAAGGTGTGTAAGTTCAGTTTTCCCTATTGGCCTGGACTCAACCACCTGTCTTTGTCTTGCACGGTCACGAGTCCATAAACAAATGCTCCGGAGGCAAAGGTCCTTTAGTCAGCTGTGATAGAACAGGAAAGTCCTCATGAGCATGCCAGACAGGACAGCGTGAGCTCAGCCACACCTGCCTGGAGAGCAGCCTTATCGAGGACCCTCAGGCAACAGTGTCTGTTGTCTATCTGTGAGCAGTCGGGCTGCAAGTCTTCACGGTTTCTTTTTTGGAGTCTGTATCTTTTCCTATCTCTGCCATTTATAGCTCTTGACCATGATTCTCCCCACTGTCACAGGGCTGGTCTCCAGCTCTCTCTCTGATACTAGTTGTTCCTACTCATTCACAGGTCTCCCAGACCCTCCTTTCTGGAGCCTGGGATCCCCTTGGCCATAACTCTCCCCATTCTACCTTTATCAAAGTATGAAAGGGTCATGAGGCCCATAAACCTGTGACCAAGAGCCCTGCTCTCCTGGGAGAAGGTGCCTAGAACTAAGCAAAGTGCATTTTCTGGAGGCCCAGGTACCCGGCCCCAGGCAGCAAAGATGGCGGCAAAGACCCTGGCCACCTGTGCGCAGTGTATTCCTGTGCTGCAGGTCCTGTCCACTCCTCTCTCTTTCATCCTCACCTCCTCGACTTTAACCTCTCCCTTCCCTCTGCCTCAGAGACTTCTGATGTATAGTTTATGCTTTTCAGAATGTCCAGTGCTATTTTAATGAACATTTAATTCTGTTTTCTACTGTATAAAGTACTTGTTCTGATACTGGGATATGACTCTTTTTTTTTTTTTTTCTATTTCAGAAAACTTTTGCAAGTTGTTTTATTTACAATGTCAACGTTTGAAAAGTCACTAAACTAAAGTTAACTAGACAATAAACTAGGCAGAAATCGCTTTGCAAAAAGAGGGAAAGCCCAAAATGCCACTTCTATAGAGAACCCACAATTCAGTTTTATTCAGAGCAAAGAAAAGATATTTTGATCATACTTGAAGAAACTCAGCCATAGGTTTGCAATCTGTACCCAAACTACACACGCAATGAAGACAATATTCTGCTAATACAATTGATTTGCTGCTGCATTTGCCCACTGTTTGCCTAATATTAACAATTATAAACAGAGCAGTGCAACTAGTATTTGGAACAGTCCTTACAGTGTTACAGTGTCAGGCACAACTTTTCACTTCTCTTCACACCACTGGTTCTCTTTGCGTACCTGGGCTTCCTCTTCTTCAGTAAAGTCATTCTTTATATTGAAGGTCTTGCGAATCTCTTCAGGGGTTTTCCCCTTGATCATATTGGCAACAGTCTTGCATGTAATATCAAGCAAACCTTTGATGTCTAAATAGTTTGCAGCCAGAATTAGTTCAAATAGTGTTCCTTGGTCAACTTTGAGGAATTCTTGGTCCCAAACAGGAATATCATCTGTTCGCTTTTCTTTGTTTTCATCATCCTCAGGAGGAGGAGGGCCATCCTTGTGGTGGGTGCACCACCAAATGGCCTTTTTTAATATTGCTGCATTAACATTTGGTAGAGGAACTGGGTCATCATCGCCTTCATCATCCATTCCCAAATCTTCTAACATGGTCTTGATAATCACAGATTGTTTGGCAATTTCAACATCAACTTCAAATATCTCTCCATCAGAACTCTGCAATTTAATTGAAGGCATGGTGCTCGGTCTCAAGGAGAGAACGGGCTGAAGGCTGACGAGAGCCGGGCAGCGTCAGCAGAACCAAAAGGAAAAAGGTGGAGAACAAGGCCACTTCGGATATGACTCTTAATGCCTGTATTATTTCTGTCTGAAAATGAGGTTTATGACAAAGAAATATGTTGGTGGAATGTGATCTTTATTAACAGAAGTAATTAGTAAACTGACTCAACTGTTATTAAGGGATATTTTAATTTGCTTTTTGACAAGATGATGGGTAAATAGTAAGTAATGCATCAATAATTGTTAATTTCTTAGTTATCAAATCCGTCCTATATAATAAAGAGGTAATATGCAATTTGACCACCATGCCCTCGCACAAAATGACCACCCTCATGTCGTCACAAGATGGCCAGCAGGGGAGGATAGTTGGGGGGGGACCAGGCCTGCAGGGGAGGGCAACCAGGCCGGCAGGGGAGGGCAGTTGGGGGGGACCAGGCCTGCAGGGGAGGGCAGTTGGGGGCAATTGGGCTGGCAGGGGAGCAATTAGGCATTGATCAGGCCAGCAGGGAGTGGTTAGGGGCAATCAGGCAAGCAGGCAGGTGAGCGGTTGGGAGCCAGCAGTCCCGGATTGTGAGAGGGATGTTGGACTGCCAGCAGTTGGACATCCCCCAAAGGGTCCCCAGATTGGAGAGGGCGCAAGCTGGCTGAGGGACCACCCCCCCCCCAAGTGCACAAATTTCGTGCACCGGGCCTCTAGTATTAAAATAACAGTAAAGAAAATAAGTATAGAAAAACTGCACTTATAATTCTACCATTCCAGATAATTACTATTTTTATCTTCCTGTGTTCTCTTCCGGACCTAGGCTATGTACTTTGGCATCTGCGGATGGGGTTCCCAAGACACTTCTGTGGTGGAGGAATTCTTGTGAAAAGTTGTATTCCATTTGACTATTGTACTTGACACTAGCTCTTAGTAGCATCCACATTTTGACTTGCTGCAGTAACCAGCTTTAGTCTATTATCTCAGAACGATGGCTGATCATTATAATGTTGAGATTTGTGTGTGTGTGTGTGTGCACGCGCGCGCGCGTGCGCGGCTGCAGCACGTGGGAGAATAGACGTGTGACAGTAGGTTTTCATTGTATGTAGTGAGTCTGTGGGTATTAATAGGCCTTTACACAGAAGAGCTAAATAATTCCCTCCTTATCTTGACTTCACTGTGTTCTGTTGATGTCATGGAAAGTTCAAGATAGGCAATGGATGGGCCTGAAGTAATAATCTACCTTATCCTCCAAAAGGGATAGCAATGTACATTCTGAAACTCAGTGGGGAGAGAAACAACTCTCTCTGGCCTCTCCCTCTTCCTAGTTTTCTTTCTGAAATTGCAGATTTCTTATCTTGATGTTTATAAAACTTGCCTGATTACAAAAATTATCTGAAGTGCTGGTGAAAAACGTAATTTCCTGGTCTTTTCCCAGACCTATTGAATTTGAATTCTGAGGGACAGCTTTGTTTAAACAGATACCCTGGTAATTTTTATAATCTATGCAAATTTGGCAAACAGTAGTTTATTTGAAGCCAATTTATAGCTGCTGGGTCACACATTTGTTTAGTCCACTTTATAAGAGAGTTGGCCATCAATTCCATCCTCAGGAGACCGACAGCTGTGGGTCCTGTCCTCTCGTCCTCTCACTCCAAGTGGCTATGGCCATGGCTCAATGACATATAGCACAGGGCAGGGGGATCTTCCCCACCCAAAGCCATCATACAGAAAACTACCACAGCCTTTAATTTGTCTCTGTGAAGAGGGAGAAATAAATAGATGGGGTTATTTTCTCTGTGTCACTTGCAGTTTTGGAATTCTGTTCCTTACTGAAATTATAATTATGGACATCAGTGTGTGTGTGTGTGTGTGTGTGTGTGTGTGTTTATAATTTTTCCTTATGCTTTTTTTTATGTGGTTATTGGGTTACTTTTAAAAATATATTTTTATTGATTTCAGAGAGGAAGGGAGAGAGAGAGAGAGATAAAAACATCAATGATGAGAGAGAATTATTGATTGGCTGCCTCCTGCAGGCCCCTCACTGAGGATCGAGCCTGCAACCTGGGAATGTGCCCTGACAAGGAATTGAACTGTGACCTCATGGTTCATAGGTGGACATGCAACCACTGAGCCATGCCAGACGGCTTTATTGGGTTATTTTTAATTGTTTATGCACTGAAAAATTGCTCCCTTATTAATCCCAGTGGTATTAATTTGAAAATTAAGCAGAGTTTATGCAACTCTGGGTCATTGCCCAGATCTGGAGTAGTATCCCCTGAAGTAGGCTGGGTCCCTCTCACACGGGACCAGGGCCCTCCTGCTGTCCTCCTGCAGCCACACTGTCTACTTTCTACTGCCCCTTTCCAAGGCAGTGTCCCATGCTCCCTTTTACGTTTTTTCTTGTGTCAAAGATAAAATAGAATAATAACAATAAATCATAATCCAGTAACTCTTATCTTCCAGATTTGGTCGTTTCAGCCAGCTGGTAGAAAGAAGGTAATAGATGAAATGAACTCATGCCATCGTGTCAACTACTGATTGGTGACTTACTTCATTAACAAACTATCCCAAGGACATTTACATTTTAAGACAGTGCGTGTTAAGCTAAAGAATACCAGGTAGTTTTAAAGGAGAGGGGAAATTTGGGGCAAAGGGATCTTTCAATCACACCACAAGGGTTATAGTTCACTCTGATACCCGAGGTCAGCTGTTGCTCTTGGAAACGTGTTGATATGGTATTCAGCCAAGAAGGGTAGGGAAATATGCTTGAGTCTGGTTAAAGGGCAAATCCAGACCTTTCTCCCCACTCCCTTTGTCTCTCTGATCTCTAGAAGGGCATTAGATGAGTGCACTCTCTGCAAGGTGGGTTGTCATGGAAGCAAATGGATCACCTGTGAGTGCAGGGTCCACCCCAGCAGAGGGAGCGTCCATCCCCTGCAGAGCCAGGAATTGCACAAACCCAGTCCGGGTCCTCACATTTTCATTATTTAAGGCCGATGACTTGTAGACTAAGTGGGTGTCAGTTACAGCGCTTACATGTAGACAGAATCAAGAACCTTTGGCACAGGCTCTTATCACTGTGTAAAGGTGAAAAATTGATTGGAAGAAAATGTAGTACTTTATTCTGCCTCGTGTCAGTTGAAAGTTTAGTCTGTGTCACCAAAATAATAAGCAAATCCAAATCCAACCAGACAGGCTTTTTTTTCTTCATTAAAGGATTCTGCATTAGGAAATGAAAATGTTTGACAGAGTAAATGCAGAATGAATAACAGAGCAAGCATTTGATACCCTTGCACATGAAACCCTAGTCATTCATCAAGCTGTGTGGTGTGACATGTCTGCTTCCTGCTGTCCTTGTGTCCTTAGGTACTGTGACTGCTTGGTGATGGGACAGACCTACAGAGACTAGGCTGGACATGTCTCTTGAATTTTATTTTCCACCCTTCCCCACACATTTATACTTCCCATATTAAATGAAAATCCGAAATGTTCGCAACAGAACTTTGATGGGCCCGATTTCTCTCATTTATGAGGTATATGGGATGAGATTGAAGAACTCTCTTGGCTCAAGATTAATGATTAAATATTCCAAAAGACATATTTTCCTGAGTGCCTTTGATTTATTGTAGTGTTTTGAGAGACTTTGAGTTAGAGTGTTTAAATCACTTATTCTTCAACTGTATTGGAAGAAGTAAATGTAGATATTTTATTATAGTCAATAGTTTATCAGTAATGGCTGATCCTTCTAGGTGCCAGGCTCTGTTCTAAGTGTTTTATGTATATATCGCATCTAGTTCTCATAGCAAGCTCATGAATGATTGCCATGTTGTGGCCATTTGAGATGGAGAAACTGAACCACTGGGGTCTTGGGTGGCTTCAACAAGGTTCTATACTGGCTAGTGGAGCTGCTGGGCTATGGGTTTGGGAGGCATTACTCCACAGTTTTCATGCTTTAGTTGAAACTTTACTGCCTCCCCAGCAAACAGATGCCTAGAACAAACTGCAACCTAGCAGGACAGCTCCTCTCTAATATTATGGGAAGGGGGCCAAAAAGAACCTTTGCCTTATCTATATAATTTGAATTTCTTTTTCTAATGATAATGTGTTTGTATATTACTGAATGCAGTTGAAACTGTGTAAGTTAAAATTGTCAGAGTCCTAAGTCAGGTTATTAATTTCTAGTTCACTACCACTTAAAATTTTTTTTTTAACTGGAATCTTAAAGCTGGTGGGTAATTTAGAAATCATTGAACACAATCCCCTTGTTTTTCAGATGAATAAACTGTGGCTCAGTGACTTACTGAACAAATTAGTGACAGAGCAGGTCTGCTGATGCCCAATTTTGTACACTTTCTATTGCATACCTTACGTGGAGTAAGACATACAGCTCTTAAATGAGCAGTTTGAATTTCAACAAATGACTCTATACATGAAACCAATTAAAAAGCCAAGATGTAGATCATTCCCATGGCCCCTGGATATTTCATTGTGCTAGGCATCTTTTTGAAAACTTTGCCTTTGTTCATTAGTGTATGTTAGTAAGAATTTAAGTGCTTACATTTCATATGTGTCCACACATTTTACAGTTCTCAACAAAGGCGCACCTTAGTGTGTGGATTCTTCCTTCAAGACAGAACCAGGGTTTTCAAAAAGTCCCATGCTCTTCTTATCTTTTACAAACCAGTTTCTAATGCTGAAGTTGCTAACTAGTGTTCCTTGTTTAGAATCAATTACTCAAGTTGGTCTTTAGCCTGACGTAGTTATCATTTCATACAAAATTATTTTTCCATCCTTTAATGCCCAAGCTCCCCAGACATATTTATAGTCAAAGTACATGTCTTTTTTTTTCTGTTAACCAAGCAGTTTATATGTTACTAGAGGCCCAGTGCACTAATTCGTGCGCGGGTGGGGTCCAGCCGGCCGGCCCCAATCAGGGTGGATTGGGGCTGGGCCTGTCGGGAGGAGACCACGGCGGGAGGTTGGCCAGCTGGCCCGCCCCTATTAGGTCCCGAT